TTTTTTTTTTTTTTTTTTAGTTTACCTACCATATCTGAGTTCAAGTTCTAGTCCGAGCACCCCAATACAGCAGAGTTTACTTAAGAACATCACCAAAAGGGAAAAAAATATTGCTGGGGAAGCATAGGACTTTACTGCATTAGCAATTCATTTTCAGTAACATTATAAGTTTTACCTCCTGATAACACTGTCAGTCTTCATAAAGAATGATCAGTATCCTGGACTAAGCAAAGTCACTGGGATATTTAACTATTGGAATAGTTCACTACCCTTTTACAAAGAGAGGGGGGGAAATAGTGACAACTAATTTTTAATGACAATTTCTGAAAATTATAACCTAATAAACATTGTATTTTTGCAATAGTAAAAAGACATGTTATTTAGTTTAGAAGTCACAATGCTGAAATGCATCAACTTAAGCCAAACGCAAGACTACAGTAAGTTTTGTTTAGAGTCTTTTTAACATATCCACTTTAGAGGTTTGTTTTCAAAGAATTCAGAAAGCTGAAATAAATTCAAGAAAGCTTGTTTAATTTTTACAAAATAAGGAAACATGAGCTATTTTAGTTACTTATTGCAATATAACAAACCACCCCAAAACTTAGATTAAAGAAGACATTGTATTTCCTCTCAGGATCCTGTGGGTTGACTAGGTTCATTGGGGGTGACTCTTCAGCTGTACATGACATTGGCTGGGACTGCAATCATCTTGGGGCACAACTGGACTGGGTCATCCAAGGTGGCTCATTCGTGTGTCTGGCATCTTGACGGGATTTTGAAAGGCTGGCTCATCGGAGACAACTGAGCCTGTTTCCCTCTCTCCGTGTAGCCTAAAGGTTTCCCTCCATCTGGCCTCTCTACACAATCTCTCCAACAGAGTATTCAGACTTCTTTCATGTTGGTCCAGGGCTCCCAAAAGCATAGAAATGGAAGTTGTCAGGACTTCTTACGGTTTAGGCCTAAAACTGGCACTTCTGCCAAATTCTACGGGCTAAAGCAAGACATAGGTCAGCCCAGATTCTGTGTGGACGGCCACCACACGGAGACATGAATTTTGGGATGTGTGGTTCACTGGAGGCCATCTTCAGAATCTAGCCACCACACAAGCCTCACTGCCAATTCCAAAATCCAAAAGACCAGTAAATAACATCATTTTTATGCACTCCTATTTCCTAAATTCTCAGCACTTTCTTTAGTAGTTGCTCTGATATGTGTTGCTGCTTGCTTTTGCCAACAATGCTAAAAACAACAAATCAAAAGAAACGTATGAATGTTGTTCTCTAATACCTTGCCCTAAACTCCATTTATAGACTTTCATTTACTGCAGTGTTTCCTTTTTAAAAAATGTGTTGAACATCATATTAAGATTTTTTTTTTAATTTTTAAATGCATTTTTTATAAGAACATAAAAAGATGGTAACTTTTGCTTCAAAATATTACAACTAATTTCATACATTGCTCCTACTGCTCTTGGGGCCAAATATTGAGAATTCTATCAAAAGGTACTTTCATTTAATTTCAACATCAGCATAAGAATATTTAAAGCTAACTACAAAACAGTCCATTTGTCATTTAATATGAAGACATTCAGAAAATATTTTTTTAAAGAGGTCGTTTTTGCTACTACCCTAGAAACCCAAAATTAGCATGCCTTCTAAAAAGATCATATTGCATAAGATAAATCAACAGTGGGTTAGCCTAACAAAGAAATCTATTTTAGAATTTCTAATGCCCATGATAACTTAATTCTCTAAATTATTCATAACATACTTTCCAGCAATATTTACTTCCTGTCTAGGTACCCAGTCCAATAATTGATTAATGTAGGGTATGTAGCTGTTTATCTGCTTTTATAAAGCAACCTACAAGAAAATATAGGGGGAAGTAGTAGCTAATTTCAATCCTTCTTCCTTATTAATGTCATAAATAATGGAAAGTTAAGAATCAGAGGTCTCAAGCTTAGATCCTATAAACTGCTACTTTTTATTAAAATAGGTGGGTTTTTTTGCATTTCATAGAATTGCCATAGTAGGAAGAGGCTTTTGAGGTTCAATTTACATCTGAGGCTGAGAGTGCAACTGACTTGCTCACACAGTTAATTTAGTCACTAAGCACTAAATTATAATCTGACAACTTAAGGAAAATAATGATTCGATTCCTATGCTATTTTTCTATAATTGCTTTTAAATGCCTCGGTTTCAAGGGTGCTCTTTCTTTCTTTGTTATTGTTCTTGCTGGATCTTTTCTAGCTGGAAGAAGATATAAGCAAAAAAATGGACAAAGATGAAGAGGCTTTGAAAGCAGCTCAAGCGGAACTCAAGGAAGCCCGACGCCAGTGGCACCACCTGCAAGTGGAAATTGAGTCTCTCCATGCCGTGGTGAGCCTGATCTCCAGAGCCACTGGCCCACTGAGTCCCCGCATGTTACTCCATCGAGGGGGGAGATACCCCAATAACACAGCGAGCACCTCCCTGTAAGCAGGAAATCAAGGCCTGAATTCCACCCTGGGCCTAGGTCAGCTACTGCCCTCCCGCCTTCCCCGAGGCTGTCTCAGTTGCTCAGGGCTTAGCTCATGCCTACAGACACGAAGTGATCCTTGCCTATTGCCCTGGGGCCCTCTCATTGTTGGGGTGGGGGAATAGAGCTTTTGTCATTATCCAAAGTCACCACCGTGGGGAGTCCATACTATTGCCTATAGAAAAATATTCAAACACTTTCCTAAAATGCCTTTTATAAGCAGTCTGCTTTGACTTTGTTATTTAATATTCTATATTTTCAATACTTAAAAATGAGTGATAATCACACTGATGATGATGATGATGATGATGATGATTTGGCCATATGAATTATCACAGAATTTCTTTGACATAGTAGGCTCTCTAAATATATGTGTGTGTGTGTGTGTGTGTGTGTATACACACACATATATATACACACACACATACATATATATATAAATACTTTTTTAAATATTTGGGTCATACATAAAGTTGTAAGAAAACACCTCTCGCTTAAGTGATATGGTATTGCGACCTTTTTAAGAAAGAAGAGAACACAATAGAATGAAGACACTGCAAATGAGATTTCAGAAACACATTTTGTTTCACTCATTCACTGATGAAGATCTATCTAAAACAGGAAAGGGGCCTTGAAAACTCCCTACAGGCCAGTGAGCAGCATTACCAGATGCAGCTACAAGACCTGGAGGCCGTGATCGAAGGACTAGAAAAAGAGCTACAGGAAGTGAGGCGCGGCATCGAAAAGCAGCTTCAAGAGCATGAGATGCTCCTCAACACAAAGATGAGGCTAGAACAAGAAATAGCAACCTACCGCCGCCTCCTAGAAAAGGAAGAGATCAGGTACTTAATTCCATATAGCTCATGACAAGTGGCCAGAAACACAGAGCCACTTACGTCATCGTTGAGGTAATCAGAGAAATTGAATCTAAAAAAACCATCATGGCCATAGCGAGCTCACCGAGTTTCTACAATTAAATAGGATTGGTATGCACTGCAAAGAATATGAAGAACTATCTCTAGCCTCCATAAATTCTGAACAAAATAGCCAAAGTCAGGGGCATAAGCTACAACACGGAGCACATCAAGCCTAGAACAAAATGTAAATAATTCCCAATCGATACAAAAATGACCTTTCCAAACTTCCTCACTTTCCCTACCATGCAAACCTTTTGGAATTAGTCATTGCCTTATTGCAAGGAAAGTCTGGAAAACTATTACTACCACATCCCTCCGCACAAAGGCCCACCCCCACCACACATCAAACACCAAAATATTACAACCCTGGAAAGCAACGGTGTCTGGAGTACCTGATTTAGAAGACTTCCAGATGTCCTGATAACAAAAGGTACCAAAGAGGAATTCTTATTAATTCACACAATTTCATAATCTGCAATCACTTATGACGTCATATGGCTTTGAACACAGCACAACCTCCAATTTTCCATGTTCCCATAAAAAGAAAACTTTCTTTGTTGTAAATAATTTTTAAATTTGCAAGTACAATCAAAATACAATATTATATCAGTTTCAGGCACGCAACCCAATGACTAAACATTTATATAACTTAGGAAGTGATCATCCCAATAAATCTAGTACCCATCTGACACCATACATAGTTAATACAATATTAACCGTATTCCCTATGATGTACTTTACATCCCATGACTATTTTGTAACTACCAGTCTGTACTTCTTAATCCTATCCCCCCAAATCCCTTCCCATCTGGCAACCATCAAAATGTTCTCTGTATCTGAGTCTGTTTCCGGTCTGCTTATTCATTTATTTGTTTTTTAGATTCCACATAAAAGTGAAATCATATGGCACTTATCTTTCTCTGTCTGACTTACTTCACTTAGCACAATACCCTCTAAGTCCATCCATGTTGCTGCAGACGGCAAGATTTCATTCTTTCTCTTTTTTTATGGCTGAGTCATATTTCATTGTATATATCTATCACTTCTTCTTTTAAAAAGAAACTTTTACTCTTGCTTGCTTCAGAATTCTGAGTCTTCTATAAAAATAGATGAAACTGCTTTACTCTATAACGGCTTGACATTTTCTAAATCTTTGAAAAACATAAATTCAAAATATACCACTTACTGAGTGATGCCAGGCAAGTTACTAAGCCTCTCTGTGCATCAGTTTCCTCATCTATAAAATGAGAACAGTATTACCTACCTCAAAGGATTGCTGTGAGGATTAAATGAATCAATGTTTGTAAAGTGCTTAGAATAGTATTATGTAAATATACATATAATTTATTATTAAATAAAGTAAAAGGTTGTGAATTTTATTTAATTTCTAATCCTTCAAGATATTGGTAACTTGGTCTTCAATATTCTGATAATTTTTATTATGCTATATTTAATATATACAAGAAATTATCATGAAGGATGTGATGATCTCCCATGTATGCACTTCCCCCAGCCCAGGCAATGAAACATACAATGTTGTTGAAGTCTGTCAACATGCCCCACTGTTTCTCCCCCCACCTAAACCACATTCCCCCCAATCTCATTCTCCTCCTTCCATCTAACCTGGCTCCTGAATTTGATGCTTACTAGCCTCTATATTCCTTTATACTAATATGTGTGTATCCCTAAACAAAATATGGAATTGTTTTGCATATTATTTTAACCTTTATAAAATTAGCTGCATTCAATGTTATACTTGGGAGATTCATCCATAAAGATCCAGTGTACCCTTAGTTCATGTATTTTCACTGCTAAATAATATTTCCATTGTATGAACATTCTCTTATTGGTGAGCATTGTTTTCAATTATCTGCTAATTATCTGCTCCTATGATTTCAGATATTACGGTTGTATCCAAGGAGGGAAAAAAGAAAAAAAAACTACAAGTAGAGTTGGTTTTGTTTTACCTTCAGGTGAGTTTCTGATATAAGTAAACTAACTTGAAAAGTAAAGTGCCATTTGTAGGGATTAGAAATAAACACTCTAACAGCAAAAATAAGCAATATTCAAATAAATTTTGACACATAAAGTGACTGTGATTAGCACTTCAATAATTTAATATTTCATAAATAAAATTTTCACAGCCATTATAAATGAAATATCTTTTTCAACGAAAGTCCCACAAAGGTGTGAGAATGAAAAGGTGGAAACAGTGACCAAACAGGCAATACTAAATGGAAATATCGTGAAGGAGAGCACTGAAGCTCATGGCACTATTCAGTAAGTAAAACAATTCTGACTAAGAAATAATAATAAACATGCAAAGAAATTAACTTCGATTGAATCATCTCAGTAATCTTTGCTTGAATGTTTCCAAACATAATTTTAATATGCTATGATTTTTAATCTGACATGAGTAAATATACATAAACAAAAACTCAGATGAAGGAATGCTCAATCCTTAATTCACTATTTTTCTAAAAATATACCAAAACATGAGAGTTCCACAGCATTCCTTGAAATTAGTCACATGATTTTTTAAAGTATGTAAATTATAAATTCCACGATGTACATGGTAAATTAAACTAAAAATGTAAATTATTCAAACTTCTTGACTTCTTTATTGTATGGAACACGTTACACATTTAAAAATATATCCATACTTCTTCATGTGGAAAGCTTTATTTTATCATTTCAGGACAGAGAAAGTGGACGAAGTTATTAAAGAATGGGAAGGTTCCTTCTTCAAAGATAACCCTCGACTAAGGAAAAAATCTGTTTCTCTTCGATTTGACCTTCATTTAGCAGCCACTGATGAAGGGTGTTTACAGACTAAACACGATAATCTACCAGATATAGAAGTCAGGCTTATCATGAGGAGGTCGTGCAGTATTCCCTCTATCAAACCTCCATCAGCAGCTAATTAATCCAAAGCCAGTATTTGACTTGATTTGAAAATGACATTAGGATGGGCCAAGGTGGGCCATGCTGACCCCCTTCTGTCCCAAATGTAAGTTATTAAGTATGTATGTTATGATTGATGTGTGATTCTCCTCAGGGGGGAAAAAAATAGCAGGGACAAAACTTCTCTGAATCTAACTATGGATGTATTTTTTTGGAAAGGGGAAGCTTAAAATAAAATCAGAAATTCAGTATAGTTTCTATTTTATTTATTCTCCAAATAATAGTTTTTGTTCCCTTGAAATTTTATCAGAGACTGTAAGCATTAGCAGCTTAGTTAAGTCTTTGAAATTTCACTCAAATGGCTGAATGCTCTAAGGAAAAGGGAACAGTTTATCTAAATGTGATTGTAGTATGTTAAGAATTACACTGAGTTATTCATCACTGGTTATATCTAAAAGGATTTTTCTAATTGAAAAAGAAAACACAAACAAGCTTTTAAAGAGGACTCCCTGTTCACTTAACCAAAATTTTTCCTTTTGAGACAATCATTTGCACACTTAGAAAAATAAATTACTTTCCATGAGCAGTTTTGAGCAAACTATAAAACATAGCCCAGTGCTGATTTGATTAAATAAAATTAATCTTCATCTGAAAGTGTTTTGTAGTCATTATGTGATTTCCAGAAGTTACTTTATTCAAAGAGCTTTAAAAGATTGTGTCCCCTACCACCAAAAAAAAAAAAAAAAAAAAAA